TTCCCCCCCCCCCCCATGTAATAGTGTGTGTGATTATTCTTTTCAACCTTGAAATTATCATTTGATTAAGTGAATCCATGGAATCTAATAGTGTGATTATTCATTTAAACCAAGAAATTATCGTTTGATTAAGGGAATCCATCATGGAATCTCGATACCCCCATGTGGGGTTTGGCAAATGTTGCATCTCTCTCTCTCTCTCTCTCTCTCTCTCTCTCCAATCAATCTCTTTTTTTTTTCTTTTGGAAACTTTGTTTATCCATTATATATTCATTTTTCGAAATAAAAATTATATTGGAAATATTTTCTTAGGTTGTCACAAATGTCTGAACATTAAAGTCAGATCTAAGAGGAAAGAGACTGACTGACACATATTCTGTCGTGGCAACCACATGCCCATCCCCCTCATTCATTGTTCCTGCCATTATTATTTTCCTTTACACTCATAATTTAGATACACACACATATATATATATACACTGTGTAAGATTTTTTCAAAGGAAAAATCTGAATGCTGTTTCGGTGGAAGTATAAATCAATCTTTTCAGGTATAGTAATTATATACAGCAACGTACGGTGTCTTGTTGGCCACATGTCACCAGCAATTATATACAGTTACCGTGATTCCGGTTAAGTTCCGGTTCAATCGGGTTTTTAAAAATAGAAAATTATATACTAATAGGTTTCTAATCAAGATGATTTACAAGGAAAAAAAAGGTACTTTCTTATCATAATGTCAACGTATAAGAGGTGATTTTTTTACGAAAAAAAAATGTTTTTTTTTGCACTAACCATGTGTAAAAATAAAACAAATTCAAATTTTAAGAAGCTCTATTGCATAATTAACGACGGTTTTGGTTGGGAGGAAGCAGTAGAAAATAAATATTATTTAATCTCGAAATTAAACATATTCAAATCCAATTTAATATATTTATGTAATGTGGTTTTAAATAGTTTATGATTGCTTTATTTCGGAAAATTAGACTTCGTTCGATTAATTTTCCGACGTCTCCGCGACGGCGTTATTCATCTTCGAGCTCGCAAAGATTCACAGACCCATTTCCATGGCGGTCGTCTCTTCTCTCTATCTTCTCTTCCTACTTCTTCTCATACCACTGTTACTCCTCATCATCTTAGCCCTAATCGTACGGCCTCGTCCCGTCAAAATCCCGATCAAGTCTCGCCACGTCTTCATCACCGGCGGATCCAGCGGCATCGGCCTCGCCCTTGCCGTCCGCTGTGCTGCCGAGGGAGCTCGAGTCTCCATCCTCGCTCGTTCTCGCGACAAGCTGGAGGAAGCCAAGCGATCGATCCAACTTGCCACTGGCGTCGAAGTCGCCACATTCGCCGCCGATGTGCGCGATTACGACGCCGTCTCGAAGGCGGTGAACGAATCGGGACCGATAGACGTGTTGGTGGTCAATCAAGGCGTGTTTGTGGCTGAGGAGCTGGAGAAGCAAAGCCTTGACGAGGTCAAGTTCATGATTGACGTGAATCTGTTGGGGAGCTTCAACGTGATAAAGGCCGCTTTGCCCTCCATGAAAGCTAGAAAAGGTCATGGCCCTGCCTCCATTGCTATCATGTCTTCTCAAGCCGGTCAGGTTTGTATCTCGAATCCAACACTCCTCTGATTCATGGTTTATATTGCAGAATTATGGGTCTTTTCATCGTCTCTAATCACTGGATAAATTAGAGAACAAATGAATCCAACTCTGTGTAGTTATTTTTACCATTGAATGAGCTAAACTTCTGTACCAAAAAGAATACCTTTTTGTGCTTATGGAGACGAGGGTTAAGTTTAGAGCCGAGAACAATGTAGACATCAGTACATTTACAATCTCAGGCATATGCCCCTTGTTGTCTTAGGCCAAAATCTTGATTTCACATCCATGGCGGTGCGATCAATTCTACTTACCAATCATCTGTAGCTTACTCTAATGCCATTACCCCATGGTCTCTAGTGGTTCTTGGAAAAATTGTTTACCAAGGTGTATAGGAGCATCAAAGTGAGAACTTGTGTTGCAAAATAAGCCGCTTTAGTAGTATCCTCGCATACTTATGTTTGTGAAGGTAGCGAATTTTCTTTTCCAGGCTGAGCTGAAAGGATATAAGAAAACATGGGATTTAACTAGATTTGGTAGATGGTTTTAGTAAGGATTTCCAGTGTTAGGATGAAGGGTTTTAAGCTTGAATGGCTTTAGAATTCAGTAAAAGTGGGAGAGATGCTTTTTCTCAGACAGCCGTTTTTGTTATGTATGTTGATTCCTTTCAGGTGGGTATCTATGGTTACACCGCATATTCAGCGAGCAAGTTTGGGCTTCAGGGTTTAGCTCAAGCTTTGCAGCAAGAGGTTATTGCTGACAACATTCATGTGTCTCTTATTTTTCCTCCCGACACAGAAACACCTGGGTTTGAAGAAGGTATGCCATCCTTCCTTATACTCTAATCTCATAACCGGCATAGAAAGTTTTTGAGAATGAAGAAACTGATGCTATAGAAAGATGACAATCCAAAAATTGCATGATACGGAAAGCTGGATACAGATTACATAAAAGCTGAATGTGGTTTCGAGAAGCAATAGTGAAACTGCAATGATCTGAATGCCTGATTATTTAATCAAGCTGTATTCCTACACACTCTTGCTAAGTTACTCTCAGGATTTTATATTCGACGCGTGGAAATATTGTATGGATTATGTGATACCATTTAGAAGAAGTGAATAAAACAATGCCTCTGTTTTCATGTAACGATTAACAGCTTCTTGAAAAATAATATTTGCTTTATTCTCTGAAAGTTGGAAATTTACCTCTTGGATGTTCTATGGTCTTGATGGCGGATGGTATATCACGTAGACCGAGGATGGAATTTATCGCAGTTTGCTGTGATCCGAATCCTTTGTCCGTTCTTATCTGTCAAACAATGTTGAGAGATGGTTTAATTCTTCTTGTTCTGTTTTCAGAACAGAAGACGAGGCCGCAACTCACTAACATAATAGCTGCGTCCTCTGGTGCAATGAAACCCGAAGAAGTTGCCAAGATAACACTAGAAGGCATCAAAGCTGGGAAATTTTCGGTCTCGTGCAATTTTGAAGGGTTCTTATTATCAACCGCAACCGCAGGCTTGTCCCCTCAGAGGTCATTCCTAATCGCTTACGTCGAAGTGATGACGGCAGGATTGATAAGACTTGCTGCTCTGTTTTTCCAGTGGGATTGGTATAGAGCAATAGACAAGTGGAACAGCACCAAAACCAGTGGTAAGTACCTCGGAACACCTCTTAGCTTTACACGCGGTGAGATCTTTTATATTTCTGTTTCACCTTACCGGTGAAAAAAAAGAGTGTTTATAAGAATCAAGATTCAAACGTTCAAGACACAAACCGTGTTCTTTTCGCTGTTGTGATCTTTTTCTGTGGTAATTACAGGGGCATAACCCGACAAAGTTTCTGGAAATTTGCGCAGCGGAAGTTGAGGAACCTCTGATCGGGAACGAAAGTTCTTGAAAAAGGTAGAAGCTTTGGGCAATTCTTTCGTGTTTTCATGGCGGTTGAGCGGGTGAACCTTTATTACAAATGTCTGTGAGAACTCATGCAATGTCTGCGGAAAACATTCTTGTACTTGGGGTTCAAGTAGTGAATCATTTGGAGTTGTCTGTTCAGAAGAACTCGTATGTTCCTCCGTTTATTCTTTCCACGAAGAAGAGTAATAATACTTTGTGAAAACTCTTTATAACAAGAATTATTGATGAAGTCCCGTACTCGTGCTTCTGTTGACGCCACGTCGTTTAACAATATTAAACAGCACGCTGTTTAGTCGGGCGCGTAAGAAACGGCACGATTTGTTGTATGAAAAAGTCTCTTGAAAGCTCAAGCAAGTAGGTTACCACAACTCGAGCTCTCTGAGGCATTTCCCCGGTGGAAGAAAGTCAGCCATGGCGTCGTCTGTCCTGAAGCTAAGGAGCACATCGCTCATGAGATCGGCCGTGAATAGCGTTCGAATCGGAGTTTCATCGAGGGGTTTCGCCAAGCTAGCGACGGGGACCGACATAACCTCGGCGGCTCCCGACGTTTCCCTCCAAAAGGCTCGGAGCTGGGATGAAGGCGTCTCCTCCAAGTTCTCCACCATTCCCTTGTCGGATATTTTCAAGGTTCCTCCTTTTTTCCTTATTCGAAACAATCAATTTTTGGAGAATTTCGTTTCTGGGTGTCCTAGACGACCAATTTCCTTTCCGATAACTTCGTCTCTGCGTGTTGTCTTGGTTGATTGTTGTTCTGGGTCATGTTGCAGGGGAAGAAAGTCGTCATCTTTGGGCTTCCGGTTAGTTAACAGTCGAGTTCCTGAATCTGAATCGTCTTGTCTGTATGGATCGGGAGCTTACGTTGTGTCTGAATGATTGTAAATGGTTTGATTCTGTGTAGGGAGCATACACTGGAGTGTGTTCACAGCAGCATGTTCCTAGCTACAAGAACAGCATTGACAAGTTCAAGGCGAAAGGCGTAGATTCTGTCATCTGCGTTGCTGTCAATGATCCCTATGTTTTAAATGGTTGGGCTGAGAAGCTTCAGGCCAAAGATGCGGTAAAGTTCCCATCTTTGTTTTTTCCAACTCTGTCCTGATTCTTTTGGTCTCTGATTTTGTTTTTATGGTAGTTCTAGTTCCATATCTTTCACCTCTCTGTGTCAATTGATGAAACTAAACGTCATGACACGTTTCTAGATCCATTTGGTTCAAGGGTTGATGGTTTTAGAATGTATCAGTGAAGATTGATCATTCTAGTAATTCCTGGATGGATTCGATTAGTATCCGCATTTATGTTTCTGGTCTATAATTGTTGACGTCTGATATCAATTCTTGCAGTGGAACTAGGATACCTAAACAACATAGCATCGTTCCGAGATTCCTTTTGGTTCTTGGGTTTGTTTGTATAAGAAATCACCAGTGGAGATTACTTATCCATGTATTTGTCATGTTTGTGAATTGCTTGCTCACCATATAGTTTCTCTCTCTGCAATGGCATAACTATACTGACACTCGTAACGGTCAATGACCCAGAAATACGATTGTATGATCATTAAATTATGTAATGATCTTACACTTTGTTTTTCGGTAAGACTATCAGTGACCCTTTTCGAGGTGTTACATTATTGCAAGCATGCGTGAAGTTCTCTAGCATGGAAACGCGGCTGATTATTATATACTTGTATCACTGGCAGATCGAGTTTTACGGAGATTTTGATGGCAAATTCCACAAAAGCTTGGGGCTAGACAAGGACCTCTCAGCTGCTCTGCTGGGTCCTCGATCCGAAAGGTAACTTTTGTAAACCCTAAGTATTTCCCCAGCCGAAGCTCCTGATCCATGGACTACCTCATCCAGTCGAAAGATCAAACTAAGAGACGGGTCGGTAATGGTAAACGGTAAACGTGAAATGATGCAGATGGTCGGCTTATGTAGAAGACGGTACGGTCAAGGTACTGAACGTGGAAGAAGCTCCATCGGATTTCAAGGTGTCCGGAGCTGATTTTATTTTGGGACAGATCTGATGATAAGTCTTCTTCCTCTGCCTGTCTCTGTTTTCTTCTCTCTCTCGGTGTTTTTTCAGTTCTGAGTTTCTAACTGAATAAGTTTGATCCCCTCGTTTTACCAAAAGGATCATTAACTAAACCATGTCTTAAGGTTTCAATATTCATCCGGAAGAAAAACGCACACACACATGTCAATTTAGATGATAAAATTGAATAAATGTATCAAATGGTTCATGTTGTTATTATTGTTTTTGGTGTTGTTTTTGTGGTTAATCATCAAAGGTCCTATCTAATCCGATATTTATTTCGAATCTGATCCAAAATTTTGGGCATTTTCTAATAATGTTAGTGTTCGTGTTCGATTTGGATCCGACTTGGATTCAAGTTCTTCAATTTTAAAAAATGTTGTACCTCGAGCACAATTCGGAGCAGACTGTTTGGATTCGGACTTTTCGCTTAAAAAAATTACTGTTTGCACAAAAGAATCGTGGTTTGCAATTGTGAAAAAAAAAAGAAATTTCAAGAATACACTCTTATATGATAATAATATATTATTTGATACCCATTATCCAAAACAAATTATTTAAAAAGAAATTAACTTGGGCTCAAATGGAAAAGCCACATTGTTTACAAAAAAAAAAAACAGATCAAACTCAGACAGGCTCAAATGAAAAAGGCTGACGTTATCGGCCCAAATAAATGAGGCCCACTATCAGAGAACCGTGACGAAAGCGTGAATACTTGAAAATAAAAGGGCTCAAGTGTAAATTTGTACCTCCGTCATTCGTTTTTGAATATCAGATCCCATTTCTCTTTCAATAAAAGGGCTCAAGTGTAAATTTGTACCTCCGTCATTCGTTTTTGAATATCAGATCCCATTTATCTTTCCCTCCTTCAAAGTTTCCTCTCTCTCTCTCTCTCTCTTTCTTCGAAGAGTCATGAATCCTCACTGATCCCAGAGCGTGTGGCGGAACACTTCGCGTTGACGCTTCCGAAAGATGCACGACTTTCTCGGATCGGTTCGCCGATCCTTAGTTTTCCGGTCATCTCTGGGAGGCGGCGGCGACGACGATGGCGGTGGCTTCGGCGGATTCGTGGGGAAGATAAATTCCAGCATCCGCAACTCTCGTATCGGACTGTTCTCCAGACCACCGGACTTACCTCCTCCAAAAAGGGATGAAGCGCCGACGATCCGGTGGAGGAAGGGCGAATTAATCGGTTGCGGTGCCTTCGGTAGAGTCTACATGGGAATGAACCTTGACTCCGGCGAGCTTCTTGCTGTTAAACAGGTCAATTTGAAATCCCTAATTCTGGTTATCGTTTAGATTAGCTTTTGTTTGTTTTGTCTTCTTCTGATTCGCCGTTGTTTGTGGATGTGACGCTAGGTTTTGATTGCCCCAAACAGTGCGTCCAAAGAGAAGACTCAGGTGAGGGTCAGAGAGTGTTTTTCTGTGCGCTTGTTCGTCTTTCCAAATTAGGGTTTATGATTTTTTGCTTCCTTTGTATTATGGCAACTTTTAAATTTATTTAAAATTTACGGATAACATTCGATCTTTTAAATTTATTTAAAATTTACGTATAACATTCGATCTTAAGTGTTTGCGGAACTGGATTTTGGTTTGTTTCTGGATCCTCGCTGTTAGGGTCACATCCGGGAGCTTGAGGAAGAAGTACGACTCCTCAAGAATCTTTCACATCCAAACATAGTTGTGAGTATAGACTTCATTTTTCAAAAACAGAAAAAAAAAAGAATTTTGATGTCTGTAATTCCTGTATTCTCCTTATTAGCTTGGTTTTTAACAGAGATACCTGGGTACTGTAAGAGAGAATGATTCGTTGAATATATTGATGGAATTTGTTCCTGGTGGGTCGATTTCATCACTTCTGGAGAAGTTTGGATCCTTTCCTGAACCAGTAAGTCATAACTGAACTACGACTTGCTAACCCTGGTGATTGAGCATCACAGGTGATGAACGTTATATAACTTCTTGAATAGGTAATAAGAATGTACACGAAGCAGCTGTTGCTTGGCCTAAAGTATCTTCACAATAATGGGATTATGCATAGAGATATCAAGGTACTCTCCTCTTCCATATTTTCACATCTATTGTTCTCGTGGTTATTCAAAACGTTTATGATAACTATAGTGACATTTCTTCCAGGGGGCAAATATTTTGGTCGATAACAAAGGGTGCATCAGACTTGCAGATTTTGGTGCTTCCAAGAAAGTTGTAGAGCTAGTATGGATATGGAAACCCTGCAATCCTTCCTGACAAACATGATCAAATATGCTGTTTCTCTCTCTTTCATTCGCTAAAACATATCATTGTCATGTCTCTAGGCTACTATAAATGGTGCCAAATCTATGAAGGGTACGCCTTACTGGATGGCTCCTGAAGTTATTCTCCAGACTGGACATAACTTGTAAGTGTTTGTAACATACCCTTTATTATCTCCTCCCCGTCTCCCATAACCATTTCATTCTAATTTCTTAATTTTCACATAATGTTGAAGATTACCTGTGTCCCGGGATGGTTTTTTTACAATGACAATTATCAGAACATTGTTGTGACATGGAAGACTATGATTTAGTTACTGTGGTAGCAGCCTAGTTTTCATCTAGTTTTGTTTGCCTGTGTGTGAATTGCAATTTCCGTATACACACCTGAGGTCATTTTTTGTTACGTTGATTTCAAAGCTCTGCTGATATATGGAGTGTTGGGTGCACTGTAATTGAGATGGCTACAGGAAAGCCTCCCTGGAGTGAGCAGTATCAGCAGGTATGCAGATCAATCGCCTCGAGATCTTTTCCAAAATTCTTGTTGTGTAAGATGGTGTATTCTTTATTCCAGAAAACTAAGACACGTTTCTTTTAGTTTGCTGCTGTCCTCCATATTGGTAGAACAAAAGCGCATCCACCAATTCCTGGACATCTCTCACCAGAGGCTAAAGATTTTCTCTTGAAATGCTTACACAAGTAAATATGGTTTTATTAGTTTTTCGTTACCAGTTTGTTTCTTTTTTCGTATAGATTCTTCTAGTTGAAAGACAAATATATGCGTTTCCTTCAAGACATCCCTTTTATTATTATTGTCTTATTTCTTGTGCTACTTTTTTTACTGATAGGGAGCCTAGCTTGAGACCTTCTGCATCTGAATTGCTTCAGGTGTTGTTAATCTTCATAAACTCGACAATTTAGTTGAAGTAATAAGAGTGGCTAGTAATTATCATGGCAGGACATGGACTTATATTTGTTTCTTATCATACTGGGATCTCGTAAACCTTTGCAGCATCCATTTGTCACTGGAGAGTACCTGGAATCTCAACCAGCATTCTGTAATTCTCTTACGGTTAGTACTTTACTCCACAAGACTTTGGTTTTGGTTCTTTGAGCCTTTTGACTCTTATTTGTAAATGTATCAGGAACGTGGAAACTCGATTGCAGCACCAGGAATGACCCTTAGGAGCTCGTAAGTTTCTGTTTCTGGAACAAAATTCCACTGTGGTATCCATGATTTCAACCTCTTCATTCTTCTTCCACGGACTATTTTTCCAGAATAAACTCTTTGATCAGGAGGTCTACCTGCTCAGGCTTGAAGGATGTTTGTGAACTGGGAAGCATTAGGAACTCAACTGTATATCCAGAGAACTCAAGCATCTCAGTATCCTATATGCACGCAGGTGACTCTGACGACCTCTGTCAGATGGACATGGAGGATCTTTGTAACACTTCATCAATCAGAATAAATCCCGTGTTGCAGTCCACCGAGTTGAATAAGGTGATGATCAATCTCTATAGCTTATCAGGCATGCTTGACCTTTACAGTTATCGTGACCGTTGTAAGAAACTTTCCACTTTCAACAGAGTTTTAATCCTGTGTTTGACTCCATGGATAAGTGGTCATGCGAGTTTGACAAAAGCCCAGAAGTGAAAACGAGTGGATCTAACTTGCCTTCTTCCCAAGTTATCGAACCCAGTTCTACCGCTCCATGTGATGAGTACACCAACTTAACATTACCTGGAGTCTCATCAGTTGCCGAGGACGATGATGAAGTCACAGAGTCAAAAATCAGAGCATTTCTGGATGAGAAGGTAAAGGTTATTTGTTACCTTCTAAATAAGGAATCCATTTATCTTAGGCCCCAATAGTTTGTCGCAGACACATTGTGAACTCTTAAAGACCAGCTTCTAGAAAACCTTCTAAGCCAACAACCATGCTAATAGAAATGCTTGTAAACCACCACCATGTTCCCAATCATGTCTTTTGCATTATAGGCTCTCGTCTAGGCTTGGCTTTGATACCATTTGATAAAAGCTCAGCGCATATTGTACGCAAATTATTTGCCAAAAACTTAATGGATAGAATCCAACCTTGTAAACCAGATATCAGGAGATGGAAAATAGAACTAGTCCAAAGTCTGTAAGCCACCATCCTAGAGATATGTTTGTGTTGGCTTTCCAAATACTTCAAAATTTCATTATTTTGTTTTTTTTGTGTGCCTGAAGGCTCTAGATTTGAAAAGGCTACAGACCCCTCTCTATGAAGAGTTCTACAACACTATCAATCCAAGCACACCTCGTGGCGAAAACGCGCTAAACCTACTCAGGACAGGCAAATCACCCAAGAGACTACCAAGTAGACGACTCTCTTCAATCGGTGATGCTATAACGAGCCCTTCCAAAAGCACCAAACGCACACTAAACGCGAGCAGAATGTTGCAGCAGGTCAATGAAACACCTCGGGTTGACCTTTCCGGTGAGAAGCCAGGAATGGGTAATAACCCTTGGTGAGTTTGCTCGATCGGTTTGAACTGGTTTCCTTCATGTTGTTTTTCCTTTCCTTTTCTTTCTGACAATGTGAAATGGGTTTTTCCTTGCAATCCAATGCTGGAAGCGGGAGCAGTGGTGTTGATGTTTTCTGTGTTAATGGTTCAGCTTTTCAGATATAAGAAGAAAATGGGAAGAAGAGCTCTACGAGGAGCTCGAGAGGCATCGAGGCAAGTTCTCCTTAAACATCATCAATCTTTTTCTTTCTACTTTGTTATGTTACAGTGATTGCTTCTCCTTAAATATCCTTTTTTTTTTTTTATAATTCTGAGAGATTTTGTTCATGAAATTGCGAGACTGACATTTTTTAGTTGAGTCACATGATACAGAGAAACTACGACATGCTGGTGTGGGAGGGAAGACTTCATCGTCGGTCCATACAGAGCGTTCAAAACTCGCGTTTCCTGGGAGCTAAGCACTGTATGTTCGTTCCTCTTTTTCTCACTTTGCACCCCCCAAATATATATATATATATATGGAAGTAAGTGGTTCATAGTGATAGTATACAATTATACTTACACCGTAGGATACCTGCACCTTCTTCTTCTGGTGTGTAATCGGTAATCAATTTCTTGTGGGCCTCTCCTGTGTTTGTTGTCTTCTAAACTCTAGAGATGTTGAATTGGGAAAGAGTAGTACATCACAACTTTTAGACCCCATAAACATTAAGGGGAAGATATCCAAACATATGTGCGTATGATTTTCCATACGGTGGCGTGAGAAAATATTCCAGCGGGGAAAATCCCTGTAGGTGTATTTCGTGGTTACGTCATTAGCCACCACTTGTCCGTGTATATATAAATATATTTGACTATTTGGGTTCGGGTTCGGGTTCGGGTTCGTGAATTTTCAGTGAAAGCGTCATCTCTCTCTCTCTCTCTCTCTCTCTCTCGGAGTGTAGGAGTCGCTATAATTTATTTTTGTAATAAAGGGGGGTGTAGGTGTTGGTCCAAATGCGTTTCGCATTCTTTGACTAACGTTGATGGCAACGTATACCGCAAGTATTGAAACTTGGGGTTTAAATATTAAATCAGACAAACCCAAAAAAATAAAAACGGTGCAAGGCTATGTTGTCTCCGACAAGACAGGTTTGGCACAAATTCTCTCTCCCAGACAATTTTATTTTATTGGAACTACATCTACATCTCCAAAAAAATATTATTTGATTCATATAATAATAATAGAATATGAATGTTTGGGGTCAAGTTTTCAGATGTATACCGTCATAAAACAATTTGATTTTGGAAATTAAAAAAAAAATCTAAGCTTATATTCTATGAAAAAAGAGGCATAATAATATAGAATTTATTATTGGGGAAAAAAACATGGGTTGGACATAAAAAAAAAAGAAAAGGAAAACGAGGTGGCCGCCGGAGAAAATGGAAATGAGATGTTCCCTAACAACGGGAACATCTTTGTTTTGGTGTCTCACTAAATAGTATCAATCAATCTCCCCCCCAAAAAATAAATACAAATCAAATAAAAAAAGAGAGAGATCATAGTGTTTTTTTGTTGGTGGGTGAGGGAAGGGTCAAAAGCTGAAAGGAAAAAAAAAACATCAAGATCTTCTTCACGATTCTCTTCGGATATATATAAATCTAACTTTAGATAATGTGTGTATGAATGTGTGTTTTTCATGGTTTGATTGAGGCCTTGACCAGTTTTGAAACACACGATAATAAAGGAGACAGAAAGAGGAGAGAGAGAGAGAGAGAGAGAGAGAGAAAAGGTCTGTCCAAAGAGAAGACAATGAAATTGCGTTGTGGATACGTTTTCCCAAGTGGAGGAGATTTGCATGTCTTCGATGTGTCGTTGTCTTCCCCCGAAGATCGTATCTCCCACATGAAATGTATACGTTACAATTTTTTCTCTTCACTGCCTTTTCTGCTCACCTTTTTCTCCCCATATCTCTTCACATAAAATTGCTAGCTAGTGTCTCTTGTAAAAATCTTTTCTTTTGTTTTCATGTGGTGTTTTGTATAGAAGTAATCATTTCGATTGAACCTATTTGAACCAAATGTTATAAATTATAATGTATCCATGTATGAATCGAATTCTATATAAAAGATGAATGGATATAACTTTTCCAAAACATAAAAACTCTATATCTTGACCAAAAGATTCGAATCAAATATAAAAGTAAATAAATAAATGAAATCAACGACAACAACATCGTCTTAATCCCAAATTTATTTGGGGTCGGTCGCATAAATTTTTCTTTTTCATTCCTTTCGGTTTTGTGTCATATCCTCCGAAATTTGCAACACGTCTAAATCATTTCTATTAATGACTCGTTCTCAAATAAATCCAAGTCTACTCCTTCGTTTTTTCATTCCATCCTTATACTAAAGCATCTAGTGGTCTACGTATTACGTGTCCAAAAGCACCCCTCACATAATTTCTTTTATATGGTTACGACTCCTGGTTTCTCTCTAATACTCTCATTTCGAATTCTGTTCATCCGTGTATATCTGCACATCCATCGCAACATCTTCATCTCGACCACACACATTTTGGACACATATGGTCCTTTTACCGCCCAACACTCATTACTATACATCAATGCGGACCTTATGACTGTACGGTAGAATTTTTTCTTCAACCGTATGGAAACATGGAAACTTTGCGATCGCAAAAGACTCCGTGGCTTGTCTCAATTTAATCCTTTTCGAATAAATCTTGATATGAAAAAGGAATGAATTTATTTTTTTTCCTTTTTTTAGAAAGGGGGTTAATTTACATATAGGGTCTTACTGCTATGTACTAGTGGTGCGGCAGGTAGAAACAAAGGAGAGAATTTGGGTTGAGATTCGTTTGTTCAGAACATGTACGCAACAAATCTATCTACCGCAATTTCAGAATCAATTTACATACTGACTTCTCTAAACTACAAAACAAAACAAAAAAATTATTGAAAATGAAAATGAAATGAAAATTTTAACTACGTCAATATATATATATATATATATATAAAGTTTATTATGGACATATATGATATATGTCAATGTTATCTATAGAATACGCTTAAAAATCAAACTTTGAAAAATAACTAGAGAGATTTCTTGGAAAATGTTCTTAGTCACAAACCATACTCTATCAATATCGTCTAAACATACCACCATGCAAAGAAGATGGTAAATGCCCTCGTCTTTTGACTATTATATCATATATATATATACACACACCAACACATCAATTTCTAGGTGTATATATACGCGTTCTTGATATATATATATATATATATGTGTGTGTATATATATGGGTGACAAATCACATTCTCGTCACATCTTGAATAGACGCGCACTTATTTAATAGATCCAAATTAGTCGAAAATTAAGAAATAGTGAAGGTGGTGAGAATTAATTTTCTATCGAAGGCTTGTTACACCACGAGATGTAGCCTATATACACACACTACCACAAACGGATGCGTAAACTATATACACACACACGCGTGCTCTGTACGTATATGTGCATCATACTTATATACAACGATCACGAAGGGAAATCTTCCTAAAGCCAAAACATGACTGTGGCCGTATCCGATAACTGAAGATTCTGATATTAAGAGCAATCAAAACACTGCTGAAGCAAAGATTATATATATATATATATATATATATACACATGTGTATGTATATATACATATATTCACAAGGACTTTGAGACAAAGCTCAAATCTTAAAGCGGATTGGATCCTATAGATTTTACGTTGCATTATCCAAGGAGGTCAGAAGTGTGTGTGTATATATATGTATGTATGTATGTATATAGAAACAACAAAGGCAAAAAGCACGAGTGTGCTTTTTGAAATAACTTTTAATATTCGCGTACAAAAATTATGATCTCCTGACGAGTAGTGGGGACTCCTCAATGATGAGACCTCATAATATTATTTCGACGAAATAATTTCAACCAATTTTTGTAAGAAATTAGCATATTATATATCAAATTTGTATTCACATTCAATATAAATCATTGAATCTAACAACTATTTTAAGACCAAACGCATGGTAATGCGTTAGAGTTATATAAACTAGGGGTTGCCAATTCGGGTTTCGGTTCGGGTTCGGGTTCGGTTCGGTTATTTCGGTTATAGAAAAACTATAACCATTCGGTTTTTATATAAATTCCGGTTCGGTTATTTTTCGGTTCGGTTTTGGTAAAAAGTTCAATTTTTCAAAGAAATTGTCGGTTATTCTCTCGGTTTTTTCGGTTATTTTTTATTCGGTTCGGTTTCGGTTTCGGTTTTTCGGGTTTAAGAAAATCATAATCGTTTGGTTTTGATGTCGGGTTCGGTTCGGGTACGGTTATGTCTTATTCGATTCGGTTCGACTCGATTATTCGATTAATAACCGAAATGGGCACCCCTAATATAAACACGATGTAAAAAAACCAATAGATAAAAAATTCAGAATCAGAATAATCTATTGTAGGTATTAAAATTGTCGTTTGTCAAATATCTAATTAATCGGTTTGTATATATAATCGAGAGAGAGAAAAAAATTCCGTTCGAACACGAGATTTTCGTTGTGTAATCTCTATATATCTGCAATGGATCCATAACTTTAGGACAATACTGTTATGTATTTTCCTATTGAAATAAACGATATATATATATAAATGTATATATGAAACTGGGCTTGATTTAGATATTATGGCATTGTTTATTATGCCATATGGTTTCAATGTTGTAACCACAGACTCCTAATTAATTAATCAATTTAATTTAGCTGTCGTAACCATACTAATAAAAATTAATTGATTAATTAACTAATCGGTCAAAAGAGAGAGGGTGGTCACATAAAGAATCTAAGGCAGCCCCTTGCCCACACTAAAAGAACAAAAAAAAAAGCCTCTTTTAATTGAAAAGGATAAAAATAAATTAAAAAAAAAAGGAAAATAATTTAGAAGGGCATTTTGGTTATTTCATATAACATGAGGAGAAAGAGGATGATGTCATGGGCAATAATAATAATAAGAAGAAGAAGAGTAATACGTGTACGTCCACATGCTTAAAATTCACATATACCAATCCTTTTGGTAAGCTTAGCCACCAAGAAAATTTTCCAACTTTTTCTTTTTAGGGTTTAATGCTCTCTTCGTTTTGCCCATTAACCAAAAAATGCAATTCATATATGTGTTTTTCTTTACATGATACCATTTTTTTGTATAGAGAAAAGCATTTTACCTAATTCACACACCACAAAAACAGATGGCGTCATGAATGAATATCATATATATATATATATATATATATAACCAAGTTGATTTCGTTGCTTATGGATTAGATCAAACCCTAGAGACCAAAAAAAAAAGTTATGACATTTTCCTTTCTGTGCGCCCCTTTGCAATTTTGCATATATATATATATATAATTATATATACATACGCACATATATATATATATATAAGGGCCCGACTAATTTTTATATATAACGTGTTTATTGCGTTTTTCAGATAATCTAGTGTTTTTTTACCGTCATTTTTTTTAGTGTATGTTTCATGAACGATCTTATCAATCTGTATAAGATTTTTTTTTAAATTATTTTTCTAAAATCTATTGGAATGATTTTTTTTTTTTTTGGGGGGGGGGGGGGGGGGGTTGACTGTCTTCAATGCAGACGCAGCAAAAGGGACATGAAAAGGAGTTTCTAAATATCAAACGCCACTAAATTCATATATTATTATTGTAACAATAATATAATATTTGTCCATAAAGAATTTTAAACTGGCCAGTTTTTTCTTAATATATAAAAAGAAATTTGAAAAGAGTTTGAATTTTCAAAGGGCATTTCATGTGGACTTTTACGTGTCATTCACTACGTTAATTTCAGAGAAAGAAACGTCGAAAACGATTGGACGGTTACAACACAATCCAATTCCAATTTACAAATAAAAACCCATGTGGTTTTCCTCCAGATTTAATTTGTAGCACGGAAAATAATATGGACTTCATTAAAACAAAATGTTCAATTATAAATTAATGCGTAATATTCTTTTAATTATCAGTGTATTTAACTTCACTCTTAAAAATATAAACTTCTAGAAACCACACAAAAGGACATCGATCACCAAAAAAGAGGTACCCAACATATATATTTTTCATATGAGACTGATTGAAAATTTATTAACAAGATCAAACATTAGCTCGAGCAACATTAGACAAATTCAACGGGCTGATATACAAGTTTTTTATTTATAGAATATTAACAATAATTTGTTCCACATCTAAATAATTCTTTTTTTTTTAATAACATCAAAACGGTCGAAGATTATATGTGCGTGTGATTGCAAAGAAATAATGAATCGAATAAGCAAGCAACGTCGTCCGTACAACGGACCTTTTTAGTGGGGGAGGAGGAGATGGGGTGAGGGAATCGGATCGGAGACGAAGAGCTTTATGAAGATGACGTCGTCATTGTACGGACTCACGTCTCCTTCCCTATCACCCTCATTTACACATATATATATATATACATACACATACGTGTGTGTATATATTCTGCTTTTGCCACTACCACTCATAGAACCTTTACGTTATGACCGAACATCGAATTTGATTTTATTGTAACTTTATTTTTGTGGCAAACTTTTTATTTTCGCAAGAGGCAGTTTTAGTTTTTAGCTTTAACCTATATATATTTACATAATAGTTACGCATAAATGGGAAGGATATTCTACCCGTTGAAAAAATAATATTCAAACAAGAGGTTTTTCATATAAAATGCTATTTAAATATTTTATTGAACCAATTTCGAGACGTGCTTGACTTTTTTTGTTGATAATATTCTGTATTTGGAGAATTCATGAATCTGTTGGTTTTTTTTTTTTTTTTTTGTAAATAGAGTATATGCATTCAAGAAAATCTTTAAAATCCTCATTTAAATAAACATATACAGAAAGCGATATTTCTTGAGAAAAAAGAAAATAGATTAAAAAATATTATTTATTATAATACGCACATACATACATGAATATGATGCACCGACAGACATGCACATTAGCTTCCCGCTATAACTATGCCCAAGGCGTACCCGCACGCATGTATACGTCGT